ACATTCAGTCCTGGATAACTAAAAAGAGGCTGTAGTCAAAAGTACTTTTTTCCAACTATGTCATAGCACCCAAGTGCCTCCCCAAATAATAATGAATTAATCCTTACATTTCTGCTTAGAAATTAGGAATTACTAGTAGAATAAAGATCTGATAGAGAGGAATATTAAGTAACTTTTCTATGTCTGCATTTGGAAGTCCCTGGTATAACATGGATTTCCAGGTCTGAAACCAGAATCTTAATCATGTTTTATACAAAACCTTAGCATGAAAACAGCTTTAAAATGTTCAAATTATACCATCTGAAAGATGACTTTAATTAAAAAAATGTGGTGCCTCATATGTTTCACAATCACTTTAGTAATTAGGTTTTCTCTACACAAAACATCACTGTCTTAAGTGTAGTTGTTTTGCGACTTTTCAGGTCTGCAAGAACATTATCTTTCTTGACTAATATAATGGTTGGAATACACTGGATGAGAAAAGACACAAAATACCAGATCTCCCTTGAGCGCTGGCCCAACATATGATCCTGCAAATTGTGGAAGATGGTGTTTGGGATAGTCTACTGAATATTCTTAAGATGACTGCTCTTCCACTATGTGAGAAAGAGGGTTTTTTCTTATCCCTAAAATGACTGTCTTCAATAAGCGGTGATTCACTGAACTAGCCCTGAGGCTGCCTTTGGAAGCTCAGTATTCAAAAACCATCTGTGCCAGCAAGTACCAGGAGAGGGCTTTCACTTGATATTTAAACAAATTATACCCTCAGATATTTCAAACATATACTCTATATTTATGTATTTTGGGATACTAGCCATAGGTCTTGATGAAAAGCCAAATTATTTAATTATTATTATTATTAAATACAGAAAAATACTTACATTTAACCTTTACACTTTAATTCCATAGTAAAAAATGAGGGACTTCGAAATATGCAAATTCTGCATTCTTGTCACCTTAGCACTACTCAAATATTTAACTTGTAAAGTTACCTGACCTAGTCTTGTGGTGGTTAATGCTTTTCTTAAAGCTTTAACTCTTACAATTACATGAAAATACCTATTTCATAAACAAAAACAATTTTTAATCCTAATTCTTAAAAACCTTACAATTCAAGAAAAAAAGCTTGAAAATGTGAAGTGAATAGATTCAAAATCCATAAGGTAAACAAAAGCAACTCAAAATTTATTCTTTTTAATTTGACATCAGAGGTGCTTAAGGATACTAACTAAAGAGCTCAAGGGGTTGCTGTCCTCCCTTTCCTGTATATGTCATCCACTGCCCCACCTTCACCATCCAGGTGGGTGTTGGTACACTGTTGGTACACTGCTGTGTACCAACACAAGCATTAACAGGACCCACACAGCAAATAAGAATTAGGCAGTACTGCTGCTACATGTGTAACATGGTTCAGGAGTTAGATACCTAACTTGATAACCATACATTAAATTCCAAAAAGCAGTAACATTTAAAAGATATTTTCCAATAATTTTGTCTAGTATCATTAAATAAATGTAAAAATCTAAAATTCTGCAAATGCAATATTTTCAACTCTGCAACACAGAGAAGCCGAATTCTTCCAAAGGTATCTCGTTTCTCTTTGCCCCTTCTCTTTCACTCTTGATCTAAACTGCTTTATAATAATAAGCAGGTTGAATTACAGATGAGCTGCTGTCTGCTACAGAGGAAGCTGTGTTTCTAGCAGATTATCTAAAATACAAGAAAAGAAGAAAGATACTAAAAAAGAAAGTGAATGAAGAGCAGGTGATCTCAAGTTTGCTGCCCCTGCCTTGTTGTATGTTCATTTTCCAGTGCTCACTGGGCTCTAGGCCAAACTACTTCAGCAAACTAAGGAGAAACTATTCACTTTTTATTGTTGTTAGTTAGTTTTCTGCCAATTTATCAAATGGAAATGGGTTAGCACAGGGTATGGCAAGAGCCAGAGCCAATGAAAGGGAAGGGTCAGGAATGCACTACTAGGGATTGGGACAGAGATCACAGTCAGATTAGCTCAGGCTACTGTGTAATCCAGTCTGAAACTAGTTACACATTTGGTGGCAGTATTATTTGAGGACGTCTCGCCCCTGCTCATCAACTTCTCTATAAAATCTTTTGTCCCTTTTTTTGGAAACGAATTTTTAACATGGCTGCATGGAGAAGCAAATCAAAGAACATACATGATGGAAAAATAACCTCACCTCAAAACTGCTGATTTTTCCATCTCCCCAGGTAAAAGTAATCAACCAAACCAGCCATACTAATATAGAAGAGGCAAATGATGGGCCTGGCCTTTACTTGATCACAGAAACACCAAGCTGTTCCATCAACTTTTTCTCTTAAGCAAAATAACGATCACTACTCCCTAAATTGACCTCCTGCTCAGATCAAAAGGGTATTATTAAAAAGGTCAAATTTCCAAAGAGAAATCATGAGCTAGTATTTCTGTTGAACCAAGAAGTTGGACTGAAATCCAACACTTCTCAATGAAAAAAATGGCCAATGCAACTAAGTAAAATATCAAACAAGAGTTAGTTCAGAAAAGGAAAAAAATGTAACATGCAGGGGTGGGATGATTTGTAAATGATATCTCTTTGGATCAGCAAATGTGCAGTGTCCCAGCTGCAACAGCGGCAGACATATATATCAAAAAAGATTAATGAGGAGACCAGCAACTTCAATGACAAAAACTGGACGTTTTGACAAAAAACAAAAGGGCCAAGAAAGCTCTTCCCAAGTCAGACCTTGCAAACAGAGATTATCAGAAGCAAGGACTTAAGAAGCTCAGAAATTGCTTAGGGAAATCAGAGGGTCATAGACCATGGTGGAAACCAGACATCTGAAGGTGGAATTGGGCTAAGGGGATGTCTGTAAGACAGGACGTAGTCTTATAATAGTTTTCTATGTCGTTTATAATCTCCAGAAATCCAAAGAAGAGAAATCAGATAGTCTTAGACAAACAATGCAAATTTCCAGTACCTTTTAGAAGTGAAACATTTTGGAGGAGCTGAGTTTACTTCTGTATCGCAGCCCTAATGAGTAGCTCAGAAGAATAACAGAGAGTTTCTAGCAGCCAACCTGCATGACACAGCTTCTACAGTGCTTTAGATCCTATCCCCAGAAAAGAAACTGAATAATCCAGATATAGTATCCAAGTCCTTGAAATCAGCTTGCAGCCAGGCACCAATGTGAGTTGGCCAGGATGGTTAGAAGCTAGGAGGAGAGGTATGGGAGCAATTCAGTCTGAACTGGCAGAAGATCCACACAATTCATGACTCCAGGAAATCCATGTATCGGCAAAAACTTCAAGGATAATTTGTCAATTGAATAACGCAGAAGCTCGGCAAAATTTGGGCTAGGGGAGCAACAAAAGGAGGCAAAAATCTCCCGAAGCCTTTGGAATTTGCCACAGACCTTTATCTTTCCTTGAAGCAGTGTACCAGGAGATTAAAGAGCTTCTAGGGAGAGAGGAAGCTGTTCACCATAAATCCATTCAGGCATATAGCTCTGAATAAAATGTTTCACCAAAGGTGACCACAATTTGTTTCATCAAACTACAAAAGCTTAAGAAAGGATTGTTTTTTAAAAGCGGCAATAGACAATAAAAAGTAAATTCTGATACTTAGGAAAAAATATTCCTTTGGTCAAGAAAAGACAAGCGGGGAATGTACATCTCTTAAAATCTGAAGGGATCCACGTATTATTAAAAGGTTCAAATTATTTTTAAATGAATCTTGTGTGAAAGCCAATGCTATCACTATCCAACTGAGCTTCTGATGAAAGCTTCTTTTGGCCCGTTGCTGCAGGATTTATTACAGGTGTATATGGAGGAGAACAGAATGCTTTACTGAATGTAAGACAAGGAGGGAAATGAAGGGAACGTAACAGGACAACACAAAACCCAGAAAGCTCCCTCAGTCTGAAACTAATTTGACCAGAAAACGGGAGCACCTCCTACACATCTGAAGTCGTAAGTCAACTTTAGAATATAAAAAAGATCCACTTCTATTCCTAGCTCAGCTCGTTCCTTAGCACTAATCTTAGCACATGAAAAGAGAGCGAGAAGTCAGATAAAAGCTATCCAAAATGGGAAACAAAAAGGCCTTTGGAAATGCCTGGCATTTAGACAGTCAAATGTCTGAGCCAAAACTGTTAGTCAGTTCATTCAAAACAAAATGTTTGCATTTTCCTCAGAACAGACATATAATAGGGAGAATTACTTTGACTCCTATTGTGTAGGCATATTTAGCAGAAACAAAAGAAACCCAACTGTATCTGTATTAAATAACACAGTATTCTCTAAGAGTTATCCAAGGTAATGCGGCCATGTTACCTTAGTTCTCCACCTTGGTTAATATATGTCCTGCTTTTGAGGATTTTGCATTGCATTGTGTAGTATAGCTCCTTCTTCATTTAAGGTAACAGGAGAATCACACTAACAAATCTGATTCTAATTCTAGAGCACAGTATTCTATTAAAATGACATAAAATTTAGAATGATTACAAACTCATCTTTGCAGTTGCAGGGGACAACCAGTCATTCTGTAAAAAGTTTTGAAACATACTCGTCACAAAAACACATTTACTGGTATTACTACAAGCTCTTGGTCCAAACTAAGCCACGCTACAGTTACATTTTTCAGGATATTGCTTCATGCCCTAGTCTTTTTTCTGTTTTCCTTTGGATTATGCAAAGGAGAAAATCAGTATAAAGGCGGTGAGCATTTTTAGCGAGACACCTGTGCTTCAGGTTTAACTTCTTTGAAAAATATTCTTTAAATATCTGTTTAAAAGTGAACACTTGAAAAATAAAACTAAGAGAAAATGTCATTTTAACTGTGGCAAAGTAAGATAAACTAGACTCACAGTCCTTTCCATTTAGTAATTTGTATCACCTTTTCCAAGTTACATAGTTCATTGAAAATATTGGCATGTAGCATCTCTAGTTATTCCAACTAGGTTTTGAAATAATCAATTCTCTTATTCTATGTATAGACATATACCTCTCCTCCTATGGTAAGCAGTCCAGGTGAATCAAGCTTCCGTTTCTTCCGGGGACCGATAGCTGCCAATGCAGTTAGATTGGCATCCCTCTGCCTCATTTGTGCAAGTTCTTGTTGCTGCATCTATTAGAGAGAGGAAAAAAAACTCTGTTTAGTTTTTATTCTGTTGCCATTTCAAAAAGTTATTCTCAGATTTGCAAGCATTAGGTAAAAAATCACACATGAGCAATCTCTAACAGTAATTTGCTGTTCCTAGAAATACCATTTTAGGAGCTCAAGCATGCAGCCTTACAGTAGAGTAATAAAGACGACATAGAAGTTCTCTTTACTTTCCACAGGATTTTTGCTTCCAAATAACTCAATTGTTTTTGAAAACTCCATCCTTATCCTTGAAAACTGTCTTAGCCAGTAAGTACTATATACTAACTACACACCTCCAGTTTAAGATTTATGTGAAGAGTGTAAATACCAATTCAAATCCTCAAAAAAATCTCAAACATTTTCTTTCATCTTAGATTTACTTTGAATATTTCAAATATACTTGATATTTGCTTCCAAAAAAATTCATATCTAAATGAATAAAACACCTCTATCTAAACGTTAGCAGAAGGTAATCCTGACACAAAACCACTACAAACTGAATTTACAACTGCCTTCTGGGATTAGGATTTAGGTAACAACACATTTAACTAGTTTGAGACTAAGAAAACAACCTGCCAGCTGCATTACATAACAGTGTAGTATGCTACAGAAAATAAGAGAAAATACTCTGACCACCACATGATGAAGAGGTGAAGACTGCATATTCATTATAAACTGTATAACCCTTTTAGAGAGTTAATGGCAAGAGACACATTCCCATGAACAATATTACTTTAATAAATATTCTGATCATCAATACTACACAAGAATAATTGATTAGGTAAAGCAGCATATGATTTTAGTTAGATAAAAGCATTCATAGCTCTTAGTAATCATTCTTATTGATTTCAAAACTTTGGGTTTGCAAAATCTTTCAATAAATTCAGAGGAGGTGTTTGTTTTCTAATCTTCTTGATGTCATACTTGTTCCCACTTCAACAGAAACGCACAGAACACTACCTCAAGAAATTCAGTAGTGGCAATAAAAACATTGTATGATACAGGCACAATTCTTCATTAAAATGTAACTGAACTGACAAGTGTAGATAGAAGTGTCTCAGCCATTAATTACACGGGAGCTGCATGTACAAGCGGGACCTGAACTATCTTGGTCAATGTTAAAAGGAAAGGAGGTTTAAACAAAAAAGTACCAATGTATGGTATCTTTTCTCCATTCACTTCTGCCTAGAAAAAGCAGGTCCGCTTCATGCATGCTATTTAGTGCAGTTTTCAGGTTTATTCATTTAGCAATGCAACATACTTTCACGTTCTTCAGAAAAAGAAAACTCACTACATTTAGAGTTTGAAAACCCATTTTTTCACATTTTTATGCTATATATTTTGCAACTTCAGTTATTATCATAACTTCAATATAAAATAATCTACAAATACACATCCCGTTTATCTACAGGATAAAAGAATTTCCTAAATACAAAAAAGAAATGTGGAAAAATATCTAAATAATAGTGCAAAGGTCTATACATACTTCTCTTTGCCAACTCATATTAGATTTTTAGCTCAAATATCTTTGGCTCTCTTCCAGATTAAATGCCAGTTAGACAGACCTGCCCGCTTACCCTTTCAAGGTAGATAGCAACAGTGGTGAGCTCTAATCATTTACAAAGGTCATGATCGGAAGCTAGCCCGTAAGCAGTCATTTAAAATTCGATTGATCCCTATTTGTAGTCAGGGAAAGAAAATGGACATTTCAGCTGTATTGTAATTATGAGGCTTCAAGGCAACTGTAAATAGATGTGCAAATCCAGATACTGGCAAATAGCTTAGAGAAGAAATTATTACTATAGTATAACACATATCCAGGAAAGGTTGAAGATAAAACTGCATATAAAAAAAGATCAATCATCTTTCTGCTAATTTGCCATGCTTGCCAGCCTATAAGGGTTATCACAATTATCAGAAGTCTGATGAATATTTAAGCGAGGGCCAACTGGCTTAGAGTGATCTCAGATGAAGTTGTAAAGTGTTTGGCTTCACAAAATAAGAAATTTTGCACCGGAGTAAGTATTTGTTTCCTGGGAGGTGCAGGTCAGAAATATAGTCTGATAGATAACTGGTATCATGCAAACGTTATTATATGAGTATCTTATCCAAAGTCACCATTTTCAAACCAACAGTAAGCTAATACTTGGCTCTTTGTACTACCTGTACTGCAATATACAGTGATTGTTTCAACATGTAATATAAGCACAGTGCCTCTGAAAAGTTGCTCTAAGAACTATAATTTAGTACTTTTTCATTTTTGCACATGCAAATTGTAAAGCAAAACATGCCATTTTTCTAAATTCCACATAATGGGACAAATCCTTCCCTCACTTCGAAACCTGCAAAGTGTCTGGTGCTGTTTTACCAAGCAAACATGGAATAGATTCAAGAGTCTGCAGAAGGGTTTGCACTTGTTTATTCCTCAGGTTCTTTGTCTTCTCTTTTTTGTTCAGTGAGAAGAGCTAAAGATAGTTCTTGATATCACATACTAATTTTTGACAAATGTGTTAGCCTAGCACTGACTGCCCAAACAAATGCACAAGATTTTCAACTACCTATAATTTAGCACGTGACAGGAAACCTGGCTCAGCACAGGGAACCAAAGGAGCTGGGCTCTGTTCTACTGACACTGGGTGAATACCGGCAAGACCTTTCCCTTCACTTTCCTGTGCCTCTTGCCCCGCTTCACCCAGCTTGTCTATTTGGGCTATAAGCTCTCCAGACGTGGATCCTCCTGTACTACGTGCCTTACTTATCATCTAGCCCCAGTGTGACTAATCGACACTACTTTAATACAAATAAGGAATATGCTGCCAGGTACAAAAACTCCAGACAAAAACACAATACAGTTTCTGATACTGGCTTTACAATACACACCTTGGTATACTACAATAGAAAATAACAATGTCCCGCATGATATCCTTGTCTCTAAATTGGAAAGACATGGATTTGACAGATGGACCATTCAGTGGATAAGGAAATGGCTGGATGGTCGCACTCAAAGAGTTGTGATCAATGGCTCGATGTCCAAGTGGAGACCAGTGACAAGTGGTGTTCCTCAGGGGTCGGTATTGAGACTGGCGCTGTTTAACATCTTTGTCGGTGACATGGACAGTGGGATTGAGTGCACTCTCAGCAAGTTTGCCAATGACACCAACTGGTGTGGTGTGGTCAACATGCTGAAGGGGAGAGATGCCATCCAGAGGGACCTTGACAGGCTCGAGAGGTGGGCCCGTGTGAAACTCATGAAGTTCAACAAGGCCAAGTGCAAGACCCTGTACATGGGTCAGGGCAATCCCAAGCACAAATACAGGCTGGGTGGAGAACGGATTGAGAGCAGCCCTGAGGAGAAGGTCTTGGGGGTGTTGGTTGATGAGAAGGTCAACATGACATGGCAGTGTGTGCTTGCAGCCCAGAAAGCCAGTCGTATCCTGGGCTGCATCAAAAGAAGCATGACCAGCAGGCTGAGGGAGGTGATTCTGTCCCTCTACTCTGCTCTGGTGAGACCCCACCTGGAGGACTGCATTCAGCTCTGGGGACCCCAACATAAGAAGGACATGGACCTGTTGGTGCAAGTCCAGAGGAGGGCCACGAAGATGATCAGGGGGATGGAGCACTTCTCCTATGAAGACAGGCTGAGAGAGTTGGGGTTGTTCAGCCTAGAGAACAGAAGGCTCCGGGGAGACCTTATAGCAGCCTTCCAGTACCTGAAGGGGGCTTACAAGAAAGCTGGAGAGGGACTTTTTACAAGGGCATGTAGTGATAGGACAAGGGGTAATGGCTTTAAACTGAAAGAGAGTAGATTTAGATTAGATATAAGGAAGAAATTCTTCACTATGAGGGTGGTGAGGCACTGGAACAGGTTGCCCGGAGAAGTTGTGGATGCCCCATCCCTGGAAGTGTTCAAGGCCAGGTTGGATGGGGCTTTGACCAACCTGGTCTAGTAGAAGGTGTCCCCGACTGTGGCAGGGGGGTTGGAACTAGATGATCTTTAAGGTCCCTTCCAACCCAAACCATTCTATGATTCTACGATTCTATGATGAACCTTCTTATGTAAACCTTAATGAATGTTGGTCAAAACATATCAAACACACATGCATCATCAGTAAGATCACAGTAACTTGATGTTTCATAAAATAAGGGCTGAAGTGCTGAAATACTTGATTGACACTATATTACACAAATTCTCATCACTCTTAAAAATTAGTTATCACTGATAATTTTTTTTTTAAGCTCATCTGAAGGCAGAGGATCATAAAATTACATTTAAAAATAATCAAAAGAATTATCATCCTGATATTGATTACCAACAGAGGCATTCATCTTGCAGTGGTTAGTGTACTCCAGTTGGCTTACGGGAACATCTTTGCACACTCACTATTAACTATCAATTTGCTTACAATAAAACATCTTTGTAGTTTATGGATACTTACTAGCAAGACATTTGACAAGATTTCTGGATGTTATTTAACATCCTGGAGCAGACTAACCACCATTGTTGGCTTCTTCATACCCCCATTCCAACTTTCTCTTCTTTCTATCTCCAAGTCACATACTTCTGTTTTCTCATACCCTACATCAGATTACCTGTACCAAATCTCTTTCCTACTCATCCTCTGACTCTTCATCAAAAATGTTATCGCCAAATGTAATCTTTGTTAAAAAAAAAAAAATAAAAGGCAGTAACTTGGCCTCAGTTCAAAAGAAGGGGACACTATACCTTTCATAAAGACATTATGCAATGTGGCTGCTAACATCTGATTCAACAGGAGCTTTTCAAAACAAATGCCATGGAGATATGAACTATTTTTAATAGTCATAAAACCTGATATGGTTACTGCAGGTATCTTGCAAGAAGTTTAGGAAGAACCAAACAGTTTTGTGGGAGTGGCGTAATTAATGTAGATTTAATTACTCGGCTTTGGTGTCAACAGAAATTACTTTTAAGACGTACCTCTTGTACTACCAGATGCCAAATG